TATCTTTTGTTCTGCGGTTAACCATTTCCTGTTTGGCCGAGTGGACGAGGTGAAGCCTTCTCCTTTTCCAAGTAGGTACCCGAGGTAGTCCTTGTACCCCAGATTTTGGGTACCAATCCACCCCTTTCGGTCGTAGTCTGACACACCTGTGGTGGTCAGTCTCAAGAGCTTGGCCAAGCGGCCTTCGAAAAGTATGATTTCCTTGCCTCGGATTTTAGCGGTGATTTCCAATTCATCACCTCGCTTGACAGCCACCAAGTGATGATAGAACACTTTCACCAATTCGGGGTATGTATCCCCTTTAATGGTGAGATACGTATCCAACAAGAGTCCTTGGAAGTTAAGCATGTCGACCAACTCCGGAGAGAATTGGTCGGGTTCGAGAGCTTTACCTCCTATCACGGTGTAGTCGGCGATACTCCATTCCGCGGTGCGGGTTCCGAGGGGCTTTTTCGGCATTTTGGGTTTTTGTCTAGGTGGTGTTTTCCGACGAACTTCTGGTGTACTTCCGGCGAAGCTCCAGCGTGACTCCGGCGAGCTTCAGGCGACACGGTTCTCTCGACGGCAAAAAGGGGCGGCGGCGTGGCTTGGTTCTGGCTCAGCGAGGTGGCGGTGGCCTTGGGTGGAGTCGGGCAGCGGCGGTGTGTGTGGAAGCAGGGTGCGTCCCGTCGAGCGACGGGCGGTGGCGGCGTCGCGGGCTGCTTCCGGGCGGCGACGGTGGCGTGCGGTGGGGCGTCGCCTGGGTAGCCGTCGGCGGCTCGGTTGGTGACGGTGACTGGCAGGATGGTTGTTGGGGTGTTGGGTCGGCGGAGAGGCCAGAGGGAGAGGGAGAGTGAGAGAGAGGGAGTGTGGAGGAAGAAGAAGGGTTTTTGATTTGGGGATTTTTGTGGGTTTTAGGGATTTGTAGGGGTTTAAGAAGGGAGTGTTCCCTTAAGGTTTTAAGAAATACTTATAGCTTAGTAGTTAAGGTCTTGGGCTTATAAGTGGAAAGTCAAGGGTTCAATTCCCATTAGTAACGTTAGTCTTCTTTATTGTCTGATCCTTGTCTTTTTCCTTCTTTTGTCTTCTAGTGGTAGAAGACTTGGTTTGGTCCCCTTTTGTTGTTGACGTGCATAATCTAGTCCTTTTTTTTTTTTTTAATTTTGATTTAGCTATTTATTTATAATAATTCCAAAGTAGTTAATCTAAGCAAGTAATTCTACTACGAGGTTGGTTACAAGGGATTTGCTAGTTATCCTAAACAGAATTCATCACCTTGGTTTTCTTCTGGTGGGTTTGCGTGGTCCTCGTCCCCTGGAGCCATGTCTCCTTCCTCGAGGTTGCTTTCGTTCTCGAGTTCGGCCCGGGTGCAGCTTATGACGAACATCTTTCTGGGGGCACCGTAATTTCCTTGATGATTCGTGCCCCCGTGTTGGCCCATGGTTGTGGGGCGTGATTTCTGGGGTTGAGTGCATTGGAAGGCCTTGTGTCCTTCTTCCCCGCAGTTGAAGCATCGCCAGGGGTTGCCCATGCAATCTTTGCCTCTATGTTTTTTGTTGCATTTTGGGCAAGGGAAGCTCCTTGTGTTAGTTTCGTTGTTTCCTAGGGGTGGCCCCTGGCCAACTGGATTGCTTGGTCTCGTGTTGACGTCGTTTCTCATTCTTTTTATAGGTGGTGCTCCACCTCCTGTATTCATTTTTCGAATCTGTTCCTGAACCCCACGTTGCAGCAATTGGATCCGATAGAGATTTGCGGCACTGGAGTAAGCCTCGTTGAGGGTCCGGGGTCTGCTTACTACTAGTGCTTTTCGGGCTTCGAAGTTGAGACCCGATACAAACCTTTCTATTTTGGTTGCCTTAGTGGGGACTAGTTCTGGTGCGAAGCGTGCTAGCTCGAGGAACCGTTTATGGTATTCCATGACGGTAGTCGTTCCTTGTTTCAAGCGGAGGAACTCTTCGTGCATGGATGCTTTTATGTGTGTTGGATAGAATCGTTCTCATAGTCGTGTTTTGAGGTTTTCCCAGTCGAACCCTGGTTCCTGTCTGTAAGTGGGCCCCTCGTGGATCCACCAAAGGTCTGCCTCGTGTCCGAAATAGAATGAGGCTATCTCTACACGACGTTCCTCTTGGCATTCTACCAACCCTAGAATCTTGTCGAAGGTCCGGATCCATTCCTCAAGGATTACGGGATCTTCTTCTCCTGAGAACGTGGGTGGTCGATGATTTGAAACTTGGCGGGCGACTTCCGAGTTCGTGCTTGATGGAGGTGGTGGGGGTCTGTTGTTGCGGAGAGCTACGTCACTTAGTGTCTGGGCGACTTGTGTTAGTTGCTGTAGGGTTTGAGTCAGGGGATCGTGTGTGGTGGGTTCCGGAGTCCTTGATTGTCTCTTGTTTGGTGCCATGTTGCCGTTTTACTGGGCCAGTGTTTATAGTAATGTCGAGTTAGAGTTTTGTACCCTTACTTTGGTGCGATAAGCGGAGGGGAAGTTCTTTTAATTTAAACAAGAGTGAGGGGGGATATGTGATGGTGGGTATACTCACAATCTCACCACGCGTCTTAAGTCTCCTGAGTCCTATGTACTAAATATCTAGAGTTCAAGCCTAATGTCTTAAAGTCCGGTCTTCAAGGTCTTATCCTAGGGTCAAACTTAGGCTCTGATACCAACTGTAACACCCCGAAATTTTGAAACTTTTAAAGCTTATATAATAAAGACAATTTCTCATAAAATCCCAAACAGAGTAATACTAATCACAAGTGTATGGGGTGTTATGCCACATCTGAACTGGAGAACTCAGATGCACAGGCTAAACTAACTAATATTCTCAATACATCATTATGGCACGCAGGCCGAAAGGAAAGACAATCTATCTAATCCACGATCTTCTAGCGCGCTCTGGGATCTACTCGTCTGTGCCTGAAAGCCAAATATATCTATTCAGCGAGAGATGCCGGTAACCCACTCCAACGCGTTGAAATACATTATAGATAGATATATATAGATATAAGAAAATCAATTTTGAAGCAGGAAGATATATACTTAGGAGACACTAGTTTTTAAACCGGAATAGACTCGACAAATAGGGATAAGCACATTCAACAGTTATAACTAAGCATGTAAAGATACTAGTGTATATCCTATGGTCACGGATTCACTTCATCTCATTTATCTCATCGTTCACTCATCACACAAGCACACTTTGATGGTGCCACAGGACCAATCGCATGCTCATACATGAGGGTCAACGCATATAGCTCTGACACGGCCCCGCAGCACCCTGCCTCGTATCGCAACACGAAGGGGTCGATCGCAATCGACCGATGAATTGCAGCTCATCATAATGTTTGATCGCAACCAAACAGTGGACCGCAGCCCAAGAGTGATCATCTGACCGCAGCCAGGAATATGAACCGCAGCTCATGTAAAACGTTTGATCGCAACCAAACGGTGGACCGCAGCCCGAGAGTGTAATTCTGACCGCAGCCAGCTTCTGAACCGCAGCTCAGGAATAACCAATTTGATCGCAACCAAATTGGGGTATCATGCACACATAACACATAGCAAGCACATGCAACCCATATTAACACATTGGGAAAGGGGAGAAAACGTATATTGAAACCTATGCGTGGTTATCCACATACTAGGAATAATCCTGAGGGGTTCATACTTCTTTTACCTAGGCCAACGGGATACCAATTCAACTAGCATGCGATATATATAAGACTCATTTATCCTACGAATGGTACCCGAAACATCAAACTAGACTTTAGGCACGATAAACGGAGTCCGTTGGGACACCACGAGGGTCGGGGAAACATCAAACGGGGAAGCCGAAGACCCAAATTGGGCAAATTCCAGCGGGTAGCCGGTGGGTGGAGGATCACCCGCCGGCGACAAGCCTCCAGGCCGCGGGTACCCGGCGGGCAGTCGCCTGCCCGCCGGCTGCCCGCTGCCGGCAGCGTCCTTTTCGGGCCGCGGGTAGGTGGCGGGTCCCCCTACCCCCACCTAACCCCCACTGACTCCTTATCAAAATAAACGTCCCGAGATCCTTTGTGGAACCCGAAACCATGCTTAGACACTTTTAAACGCAATCGATGACACCATGTAGACAATTAACGGATCAAAAGCAAGAAGCACACATCCTATCATGATTTCTAAACATAATCAACACCCGAACATGCGAAATCCCCACCCAATTATATCAAGAATAACACAATACGAAATCCCCAATTTGACCTAGGGCTCTAATCATATTTATATCATCAAAATCATAGTTCGTCTTTTAATATCAAGAAACGTCAAGATTCATCAAGAATATCACATAATCATCAAGAAACTCTTATCATCATCAAGATCATCAAGATCACACATAAAATCATCTCACAATCATCAAGATCATATCATCAATATCATAAACGATTCATCAAGACACAAGTGTAGAGAGGAAGCCAAAGAAGATAATTATAGCAAGGAAAATAGGTTTTGTTCAGACATGGGTTACCTCTTAGCCTTAATTAATTCCTTGGCTATGAAGGGTCTTTCTTTAAGATTCATTCTTTCTTGATTTCTCCTAGGGGAGTTCTTGGAACTTCTTGTGTGGTGAGAGATTATTGTGGTGTGGGTTCTAGGTGCCTCCTATGCCCCCCACCCCCTATTTATATACCTAAGAGTCCCAATTAGGGTCTAAATACTATGGGTTTGCTAATTATATTCCTTCTAGGACTAGGGGATTGGTTTTAGGGATAAGGGCCCATGGACTATGGTGGGCCTTTTCCTAATTAATTACTGGAATTTAATTCTTTCTTTTGGGTAATTGATTAAATGATTAATTGGTTTTAGGGGTCGTAACACGGGGTGTTACAGTGAATGAGATAGTGAGTTGGAGGTTGAGGTTGAGTGTTTGAATAAGGATGACAACGGTGGTGTTGGGAATAAACTTCAAAAAGTTGTGGTTAAAAGTGAATTCATGGCGGAGTTATCCATGAATGAGGCAGAGTTAACCATGAATGATCCATAGTTAAACATGAATGATCCAGAGTTAAACATGACTGATCCAGAGTTAACCAAAGAACATGAAGAACAATGTGAAATAGTCTCATATGATTGGGATGAGATAAATTTTTCTGATGATGCTTTTGTAGTTGAATCTGACAGTGATGGGGAAAGTAAATGGCCTGTTTTTAGAGAAGCTACTGACATGAATGATCCAGAGTTTACATTAGGCATGACCTTTGCCTCTAAGAAACAGTTTAGAGAAGCAGTGCAGAATTCTGGTTTCAAAAATGGGAAAGATATCAGAACTATTAGGAATGATGCTTTGAGGGTTATAGTTGAGTGTTCACAGGATGGTTGTCCTTGGAGAATATGACTGAGGAAAGTGCTTCACTTACATGCTTGGAGGATTTTGAACATGGTTGATGTGCATGAAGGTTGTTCTTGGGTTTGGGAGAATTCAATGGTAAAAGCTGCTGTGGTTGCAAAGAGGTGGGCCAAACAATTAAATAACAACCCAGAATGGATGATGAAAAAATTTAGGGATACAGTTACTAATGAAGAGGGGTTCTATTTAAGTGATCAACAAGCCCACAGGGCTATGTGGAAAGCCAAGAAACAAAGAATTGGTGATGCTGAAGACAACTTCAAGAAGATATGGAGCTACTGTGCTGAAATAGATAGGACAAACTCTAGGACTAGGTATTTTGTGAAGCTCAGTGACTTGCAAGATGGGGAAACTGGGCAGGAAAGATTTTTAAGAATGTATGTAACATCCCGAAATTTTGAAACTTTTTAAAGCTTATATAATAAAGGCGAATTCTCATTAAATCCCAAAATTAACATAAAAGTACGGGGTGCTATGCCACACCTGAGCTGGAAAGCTCAGATGCACAGGCTAAACTAACTAAACAACCTCAAAGCAATGTCAGTACATAATCATGGCACGCAGGCCGAAAGGAAAACTAACAAGTCTACGCTCCGGATCTCTAGCGCGCTCCGGTGTCTACTCATCTGTGCCTGAAAGCCAAATATATCTGTTCAGCGAATGATGCTGGTAACCCACTCCAACGAGTTGAAATACAATATAGGTAGATATACATATATAGATATACGAAAATCATTTTGAAGCAGGAAGAGATATACTTAGGGAACTCTAGTTTTAAAATCAGGGATAGACTCAGCAAGTAGGGGTAAGCACATTCAATAGAGATAAACAGTTATATAAAGACAACATCATAAATAACATGTATCTAAGGTCACAGTTTACTTTCATGTCATCCACATCATCATTCAATTATCATTTATTCGTCATTCTAGTCATCATTCAAATCATCACCATTCAAATCATCATTCAAGTCACATAAGCACACTTTGGTGGCGCCACGGGACCAAACACATGCCCCGAATATGCGGGCTAATGCGTATAGCACTAACATGGCCCCGCAGCACCCTACCTCATACCGCAGCATGAAGGGGTTGATCGCAACCAACCATACAGACCGCCAATAGTTTGACGGTGGATCACAGCCCTACACACCGCTGACGCGCTCAGTCGATGGACTGTGATCCTCTTACGGGGACTACGACCCTACACACCGCTGATGAGCACAGTCGGTGGATCGCAGTGAATCAAGCCCTACACACCGCTGAGAACCTTAGTCGGTGGGCGAAAGCCCTACACACCGCTGAGGATCTTAGTCGGTGGGCGATGATCCTCGGAGACTACTACCCTACACACCGCTGGCCCTCAGTCGGTGGGTCGCAGCCGGCACCATAGCCCTACACACTGCCCATCACTCGGTCGGTGGACTATGGCATTCCTCAGGCTGGTGGCCCTACACACCGCTGGCGCACCCAGTCGGTGGACCATCCGCACACGAGGCCCATGGACCGTAGCCCTATATAATATTTATATACCTGACCGATCGCAACCGGCCTGGTTAATAGTTGGGATGGTTCTCAACCCATCCAACTGCCCGTATAGGTAATTTGATCGCAACCAAATTGGGGAATCATGCATCACATAACACATAATAACACATTGGGAAGGGGGAGACACATAAATAAGCTTACGTGTGATCATTCACATATTAAGAATAGTCCTAAGGGGTTCATACGACTTCGATCTAGGCCAACGGGTTACCGATTCAACTAGCATGCAAATCCTAGACTCTTTTATCCTACGAACGGTACCCGAAACATCAAACTAGACTCAAGCACGACAAACGGGGTCCGCTGGGACACCATGGGGAATGGAGAACATCAAACGGGGAAGCCGAGAACCCGGGGTGGGTGACAAACCAGCGGGTAGCTGGTGGGTGGAGGGCCACCCGCCGGAGATCATCGTCCGGGCAACGGGTTGCCGGCGGGCGAACGCCTGCCCGGCGGCTGCCCGCTACTTGGCGGTGATTTTCGGGCAGCGGGTAGGTGGCGGGTACCCCTACCCCCACTTACCCCCCACTGACTCTTTTATCAAATATGCGTCCCGGGATCCTTCGTGGAACCTGAAACCATGCTTAGACACTTTTAAACGCAATTAACGACACCACATAGGCAATTAATGGATCAAACGCAAGAATCACATTGAACACATCCTAACACGACTTCTAGACGCGAACAATACCCGAACATGCAAATTCCCACCCAAATATAAATCAAGAGCATCATGATACCAATTCCCAATCTAACCTAGGGCTCTAATCCCACCCAAATCATAAAAATCATATTTTATTTTCTTTATCAAGAACCATCAAGATTTATCAAGAATTATCACATAAATATCAAGAACCTCTTTTTAACATCAAGATCATCAAGATCCCTTATAAAATGATCACATCAATCAATCAAGATTATATCACGATATCATAAGGAAATTCATCAAGACACAAGTATATAGAGGGAGCCAAAGAAGGGGATCATAGCAAAGAAAATAGGTTTTTTTGAGACATGTGCTACCTCATAGCCTTAATTAAATTCCTTGGTTATGAAGGATCTTTCCTTTAAGATTTCTTCTTTCTTGATTTCTCCTATGGGAATTCTTGGGAATTCTTTTGTGGTGAAAGTTATTGTGGTGTGAGTTCTAGGTGCCTCCTATGTCCCTATTTAAATATCGAAGAGTCCTACTTAGGATCTAAATGGTATGGATTTAGCTAATTCTATTTCCTATAGGACTAAGGGTTGGCTTTAGGGATAAGGGTCCATGGGCTTATGGTGGAACCTTCCTAATTAATTAATGAAATTTAATTCTTTCTTTTGGGTAAATGTTTAAATAATTAATTGGTTTAGGGGCCGCAACACGGGTGTTATACTCTCCCCCCCTTAACGGGAAGCTTTGGTCCTTGCTTAGTGACCTCTTCCCTTATCCTATGCTTTCGCCTTGGTTACCTTGTGTGAAGAGTTCGGGGTAACGTTCCTTCATTGTGTCTTTGAGTTCCCATGTTGCCTCTTCGGTCCCGTGGTTGGTCCAGAGGATTTTTACCATTTCTATGGTTCGCTGGCAGGTGGTTCTTGTCTTGGTGTCCAGGATCCTTACGGGTTTCTCTTCGTAAGTTAGTGCGTCGTCAAGGTCCACGGCCTCGGGTTGTAGCACATGGCTTGGATCGTGTATATATTTCTTTAGTTGGGATATATGGAATATGTTGTGTACCCGCTCCAGTTCGATGGGTAGGGCGAGGCGGTAGGCCAGGTTCCCGACTCTTTCTACGATTTCATAGGGGCCGATAAACCAGGGACTGAGTTTCACCTTTCTTCCGAACCTCATTACCCCTCGTGTGGGCGAGATTCTTAGCAGATTTTTTCTCCGGAGGTGAACTCGACTTGCTTTCTTCCCAGGTCGGCGTAGGATTTTTGGCGGTCTTGGGCGGCCTTCATTCTTTCTTGTATGTGTTTGACTTTAGTTATGGTGTCTTGTAAGTATTGGGGTCCTAGCGCTACTGGGCCGACCATGTCTTCCCAACATAAGGGGGTTCTACATTTTTTGACCGTACAGCGCTTCGTAGGGAGCCATGCGGATACTTGCGTGATAGCTGTTGTTGTAAGAGAATTCGATGAGGTCTAGACGTTCTTCCCATGTCCCCTGGAAGTCTAACATGCAGGCTCTTAGCATGTCTTCAAGAGTCTGAATGGTTCTCTCGGTTTGGCCGTCGGTAGTGGGGTGGAAGGCAGTGCTCAGGTTTAGCTGTGTCCCCATGGCTGTTTGTAGAGACTTCCAGAATTGTGAGAGGAACCTGGGATCCCAATCGGACATAATGTTTCGGGGGATTCCGTGGTACTTCACTACTCAGTTTAGGTAGGCTCTGGCTAGTTGCGTCATTGTCCATCTTTCTTTCATAGCAATGAACCGTGCTATCTTGGTTAGCCGGTCCACTATTACCCATATTTTATCCTTGCCTGTTGGTGTTGTGGGCAATCCCCCGACGAAATCCATGGATATGGAGTCCCACTTCTCCTGTGGTATCTCAAGGGGTTGTACGAGTCCTTTAGGCTTGCATCGTTCGGCTTTTACCCTTTGGCAGTTTAGACATTTGCCCACGAAGTCTGCGATTTCCTTTTTCATGTTGGGCCACCAAAACATCTTTTTCACATCTTGGTATAGTTTGTCGCCTCCGGGGTGCACCGAGTATGGTGAGTTGTGCCCTTCTTCCAGGATTTGTTGCTTTAGATGGGGGTGTGTCGTGGGTACGCACCATCTCCCTTGATAGCGGAGGCTGCCATTTTCGCATATTTCGAATGGTCCGTCCTTTCCCTGAGTTAGGTCGAGTAGAATTTTATTTAGTTCTGGGTCTTGATGCTGCTCGGCCTTGATTTCTTCGAGTAGTGTGGGTATGATTCTGACATTGAATAGGTGGATCTCAGAATTTGTTTATCCTTGCTCTACTACCTCCAAGTTCAACCTTTGGAAGCCCTTGTATAGCTCGTCTGGCAGGATCCAGGTGGTGTTGAGGGAGTGGTTAGCCTTTCGGTTTAGGGCGTCTGCAACAACATTAGCCTTCCCTTCGTGGTACTGGATATCTAGGTCTTAATATTTTATAAGTTCCAACCATCTTCTTTGTCGCATGTTTAGATCTTTCTGGGTGAAGATGTACTTCAGACTTTTATGATCTGTATAAATCTTGCATTGCACTCCGTATAGGTAATGTCTCCAAATTTTCAGGGCGAACACGATGGCAGCTAGCTCGAGGTCATGTGTGGGGTAATTTTCTTCGTGGGTTTTGAGTTGCCTGGATGCATATGCTATTACTTTGCCTTTATGCATTAGTACGCATCCCAGTCCCTTTTTGGAGGTGTCGCTGAAAACTTCGAATCCTTCCATCCCAGAGGGAAGGGCTAGGACGGGTGCTCTGGTCAGCTTTTCTTTCAATTCTTGAAAGGCTGAGGTGCAGTTGTCGTCCCATCGGAAGGGGGTTTCCTTTTTCATGAGCTTAGTGAGGGGTTGAGCTTCTTGGTAAAATCGGGTACGAACCTCCTATAATAGCCTGCTAACCCTAAGAAGCCTCTGACCTCCGAAAGTGATTTTGGTGTGGGCCATTCTCTAGCGGCGTGAATTTTGGTTGGGTCCACCTTGATTCCTTCTTTGGTTATCACGTGACCTAGGAAGGCCACGTTGTCCTTCCAAAATTCACATTTGGAGAATTTGGCGTATAGCTGTTGTTCCCTCAGGGTTTGCAAGGTTGTGCGAAGGTGCTTTTCATGTTCCTCCTTGTTTCGGGAGTAGACCAGGATGTCGTCGATGAACACGATGACGAAGTCATCTAGGTGGGGCCGGAATACTTGGTTCATGAGGTCCATGAATATAGCGGCTGCATTGGTGAGTCCGAAGGGCATTACTATGAATTCGTAGTGGTCGTAGCGTGTTCGAAAGGCTGTTTTCTGAATATCTGGGTTGGCTACTTTTATCTGATGGTATCCGGATCTTAAATCAATTTTCGAGAACACCCCTGCTCCTTTAAGTTGGTCGAACAAGTCGTCGATTCGGGGAAGAGGATATTTATTCTTTATTGTAACTTGATTTAGCTCCCTGTAGTCGATGCATAGACGCATGCTCCCATCTTTCTTTTTAACGAATAGTACTGGTGCTCCCCATGGTGAGGTGCTAGGGCGGATGTATCCTTTATCTAGTAGCTCCTAAAGTTGTGTTTTCAGTTCCTTCATTTCCTTTGGCGCCAGCCTGTAGGGTGGCTTCGAGATCGGGGCAACGCCTGGTATCAAGTCCATGGTGAATTCGACTTCTCTGGTTGGGGGTGATCCGGGGATCTCGTCTGGGAAGACATCGGTGAATTCGTTTACCACATGAATGGTTTGGGGTTCGGCTATTTTGGTGTTGAGATCTTTGACTGAGCATAGGAAGGCTTCGTGCCCTTGGGTCAGATATTTCTTCATTTTTATCATGTTCACTAATTTGATTTCCGGGTCCTTGTGGGTTCCGTGGTAGGATACTCGTTTGCCGTTTGGTCCCCGCAAGACCACTTTTTGTTCACCACATAGGATTTGTGCTTGCAATTTCCCTAGCCAGTCCATGCCCAAGATCACTTGTACCCCATCCAATCTGAATTATATTAGGTTGCTAGGGAATTCCACTCCTTCGATGGTGATTATTATGTCTTTGTACATGCGGTTACATTTTATGATTTCACTGGATGCCACCTTGACTTAGAGATGTACTCTTGTGTTGGGGTTAAGACCGAGTTGAGTGGCGAATTCGGTTGCTATAAATGAGTTGGTAGCCCCCGAGTCAAATAGTACGGTGGCGGGGGTGGCGTGTACGAGGAAGGTTCCGGAGACTATGTTGCTATCTCCGATTTTGGCTTTGCTTATGGTAAGGATCCTTCCTTGAGTGGCTGGCGTTACGGCTTTGTGGGGCGAGGTGGCCCTGGCGGTTTTTGGCTCCCGGAGGGGGTTTGCGTGGTTTCCTTCGATTTTCCTTTTGTGTCCCAGGCGTGTTTCCTGTGGTTTGCCCGGTATTTGTTGTAGTTGGAACGCCTTGGCATAGGCTTCTTCGAGAGTTCTTGGTTTTCGTATGGTTAAGGCCTTCTGGTTCTCGAGGTCGAGGCCCATTACGAATTTCTCAATTTTGATTGTCTCTGTAGGTACCAGTTCGGGGGTGAGGCGAGCTAGCTTGAGAAACTGCCGGTAGTATTCTGTGATTGGGGTTGCTCTTTGTTTTAGATGGAGGAATTCTTCGTATATGGTCGCTTTCATGTGACTAGGGTAGAATTGTTCCCGTAGTCGTGTTTTTAGGGTTTCCCAGTTGAATCCGGGGCTTCGTTCGCAACTGGGTTTCTCGTGGACCCACCAGATGTCGGCCTCGTGTCTGAAGTAGAAGGAGGCCGTTTCTACTTGGTGGCTTTCCGGGCATTCCGTTGCTCTGGATATTTTGTCAAAGGTTCCGATCCATTCTTCGTGGATTGTGAGGTTTTCATCCACTGAGAAGGTAGGCGGTTGGTGTTCCGAGACTTGGCGGTGGATTTCCAAGTTTCTGTTTGGTGGTGACGGTTGGAGGACGGCATTGTTTAGTGCCTGGGTAATTTGGGCCAGACGTTGCAGATTCTGAGTCAAGAATTCCTGTGTGGGGAGTTCCGGGGCTTTTGCCTGTTTCCTTTTTGGTGCCATCCCGGGGTTCATAGGTCGATATTATTTTGCATCCTTACCTTGATGCTATGGGTGTAGGGGAAGTTTATTTAAATTACGTGTGAGTTAGGGTGAGGGAAAGTTTAAGGTCTCACAGTCTCACCGCGCGTCATATGATCCCTAAATCCTATCTTACTGAACTCCTAGTGTTTTAAGCCTAATGTCCTAAAGTCTGGTCTTAAGAGTCTTATCCTAGGTCAAACTTAGGCTCTGATACCAACTGTAACACCCCGAAATTTTGAAACTTTTTAAAGCTTATATAATAAAGGCGAATTCTCATTAAATCCCAAAATTAACATAAGAGTACGGGGTGTTATGCCACACTTGAGCTGGAAAGCTCAGATGCACAGGCTAAACTAACTAAACAACCTCAAAGCAATGTCAGTACATAATCATGGCACGCAAGCCAAAAGAGAAACTAACTAGTCTACGCTCCGGATCTCTAGCGCGTTCCGGTGTCTACTCATCTGTGCCTGAAAGCCAAATATATTTGTTCAGCGAATGATGCTGGTAACCCACTCCAACGCGTTGAAATACAATATAGGTAGATATACATATATAGATATACGAAAATCATTTTGAAGCAGGAAGAGATATACTTAGGGAAGTCTAGTTTTAAAATCAGGGATACACTCAACAAGTAGGGGTAAGCACATTCAATCAAGATAAACAGTTATATAAAGACAACATCATAAAGAACATGTATCTAAGGTCACAGTTTACTTTCAAGTCATCCACATCATCATTCAATTATCATTTATTCGTCATTCAAGTCATCATTCAAATCATCACCATTCAAATCATCATTCAAGTCACATAAGCACAATTTGGTGGTGCCACGAGACCAAACACATGCCCCGAACATGAGGGCTAGTGCGTTTAGCACTAAGATGGCCCCGCAGCACCTTACCTCATACCTCAGAATGAAGGGGTTGATCGCAACCAACCGTACAGACCGCCAATAGTTTGACTGCGGATCACAGCCCTACACACCGCTGACGCGCTCAGTCGGTGGACTGTGATCCTCTTACGGGGACTTCGACCCTACACACCGCTGATGAGCACAATCGGTGGACCGTAGTGAATCAAGCCCTACACACCGCTGAGAACCTTAGTCGGTGGGCGAAAGCCCTACACACCGCTGAGGATCTTAGTCGGTGGGCGATGATCCTCGGAGACTACGACCCTACACACCGCTGGCCCTCAGTCGGTGGGTCGTAGCCGGCCATAGCCCTACACACCGCCGATCACTCGGTCGGTGGACTATGGCCTTCCTCAGGCTGGTGGCCCTACACACCGCTGGCGCATCCAGTCGGTGGACTATCCGCACACGAGGCCCATGGGCTGTAGCCCAAGAAGTGAATCACTGACCACAGCCAGGAGAATGAACTGTTAGGAATAAATTGTAAATAGATTTTGATGAGCCAAATTGTATATTTAGGATAAAAATTTTTAACCCCCATTTTTATTTGAATTTTGTGTAATTTTATTTTGAGGAAGAACAAGAAATATTAAGTCCAGGAAATTCATGAAGAAGAAAATTAAGGAAGAAGAAGAAGAGCTACGGATGTATTATTATTCAATTGGCCAGGCACATTATCTATTTTGAAGAAGAGGAGTTACGATTGGAATTATTTCAAGGAAATCAGCCTCCGTGATTATTTAAGGAATCAGCTAAGAAAATGGAATGCCTTACATAATTAAATTGAGCTACGGTCTCAATTTAATTAAAGAAGAGCCACAGTCTTATTATGAGCTACGGTCCCAAGTTAATTCATCGAGATGAGCTACGGTTTCTATTTGTTAAATAATGAGCCACACTCTAATTTATTAAATAAGAGCCACGCTTGAAATTTAATAAAGGAATGAGCCACGCTCTAAATTTATTAAAAGGAAGGAGCCACGGTTGATCATCGTCCGGGCAGCGGGTTGCCGGCGGGCGAACGCCTACCCGGCGGCTGCCCGCTGCCTGGCGGTGATTTTCGGGCAGTGGGTAGGTGGCGGGGACCCCTACCCCCACCTACCCCCCACTGACTCTTTTATTTATCAAATATTCGTCCCAGGATCATTCGTGGAACCCGAAACCATGCTTAGACACTTTTAAACGCAATTAACGACACCACATGGGCAATTAATGGATCAAAAGCAAGAATCACGTTGAACACATCCTAACACGACTTCTAGACGCGAACAATACTCGAACATGCAATTTCCCACCCAAATATAAATAAAAAACATCATGATACCAATTCCCAATCCAACCTAGGGCTCTAATCCCACCCAAATTATAAAAATCATATTTTATTTTCTTTATCAAGAACCATCAAGATTTATCAAGAATTATCACATAAATATCAAGAACCTCTTTTTAACATCAAGATCATCAAGATCCCTCATAAAATCATTACATAAATCAATCAAGATTATATCACGATATCATAAGGAAATTCATCAAGACACAAGTATATAGAGGGAGCCAAAGAAGGGGATCATAGCAAAGAAAATAGGTTTTGTTGAGACATGGGTTACCTCTTAGCCTTAATTAAATTCCTTGGCTATGAAGAATCTTCCCTTTAAGATTTCTTCTTTCTTGATTTCTCCTATGGGAACTCTTGGGAATTCTTGTGTGGTGAAAGTTATTGTGGTGTGAGTTCTAGATGCATCCTATGTCCCTATTTATATATCTAAGAGTCCTACTTAGGATCTAAATGGTATGAATTTAGCTAATTCTATTTCCTATAGGACTAAGGGTTGGCTTTAGGGATAAGGGTCCATGGGCTTATGGTGGACCCTTCCTAATTAATTTATGAAATTTAATTCTTTCTTTTGGGTAAATGTTTAAATAATTAATTGGTTTAGGGGCCGTAACACGGGGTGTTACAATGTACATTTGCTGGGATGCTTCCAAACAAGGATTCAGACATTGTAGACCCCTAATATGTGTGGATGATGTCATTTGAGAAGTGGATCAGGTGGGATGCTTTTAACTGCAGTGGGTGTTGATGCTAATGACAGTCTTTTCCCACTTGCCTATGCTATTGTTGAAGGGGAGAAGAGGGAGTCTTGGTCTTGGTTTCTAAAATTCCTAGCTGAAGACTTGGGGATAACAAAAGATACAGAACAGGACTATACATTTATAAGTGATAAGCAGAAAGGTTTGATGCCAGCATTTGAAGAAATCATACCTGGTGTGGAGCACAGGTTTTGTGTGAGGCACCTGCACTCAAACATGAAAGTGGCAGGGTTTCAAGGGAAGGCATTGAAGGATGCTCTTTGGGAATGTGCTAGGGCAACGACTCTAAATTCTTATACTAGTGCACTACACAAGCTTAGGGCCTTAGATGAAGAAGCTTGTCAATGGTTGGGTGACAAGTCTCCAACAGAGTGGAGTAGGTCACACTTCTCATCACACACTCACTGTGATATGTTGGTAAACAACATATGTGAGTCATTAAATGCAGCATTACTTGGTGCTAGGGATCAACCAATCATAGACTGCCTAGAGTGTGACACCCCGTAAATCCAAATTCTATTTAAGGATTAATTAAGTAATTAATCCTAGCTTAATTGATAGTTTATTCCTCAAATCCTAAAAATTCAATAGTCGGGGACTAGATATTGACTAGTCAACCCAAGTCAATGAGTTGTACTTTAAGCTTTGTGAATTGTTCCCTTGTCTCCTTACACTTTCCCATCTTAGTAAGGGTAATGAAGACCTTTCACCTCATGATTGTATTCCAAGCTAACCTAGAGTCATCTTTCATTCTTCATCCTTCTCTCTAGAATTTAGCTAGCTTCTTCTTCAAGCCAAGTTTGGGCATTCCAAGATTCAACCTTTCTTACTCTTGAGTATATAGGAGGGTAAGATCTTTGGTCCTTTAGTGTTTTTAGTACCTTTTAAGGTGTCTTTTTTCTAAAGGTGAAATCTTTGTTGCCTTTTGGTGTGTTTGTGAATTAGAAGTTGAAGGAGAACCTTGTTAGAAGCTTGTAAAGGTGTGAAAAGTGAAGTTGTAGGCTACAAAAGGTAACCCATGCTTTACAAAATCTATTTTCTTACCTATATGATGATTTCTTTACTTCTACATGTGATTTTTGCTATGAAATGTGGGTTTTGATGCATTGTGTTGTGAGAATGCATATCTAGAGCTTGTTATTAGGGTTCTTGTATGCCATTGCTTGGCTATTCCTTTGATTCGTGTCATATTGTTGTATTTTGTGAGATTTTGGACTTGAATTTGGACTAGGTGTTGAAAATCCCCAAAGGGATTATTTTGGTACAGTTGTGTACCCGCGGGCGGAACGGCGGGTTGGGAACCACCCGCCGCCCCACCTGCGGGGTACATGTGTTTATGGGAGTGGTTCCCGCGGGCGGAGCCACGGGTGGGGGTCCACCCGTGGCCCCACCTGCGGGGTACGCTTATCGTGTTGTTTTGGGGATTTGTACCCCGTGATTCTTTGACTCGGTAATTGATGTTTTGACTTCCCGATGTTCTTTTGTTGGGCTATTTGAGTGTCTTCTTGATTTTTCGTATGTCTAGAACGTATGATAAGAATCCATGTAGGATTTGGTGTCTTGAATCGTGCTAAGTGTTCAACCTTGTGATTCGTTGAACCATGATGAGTCTTGTATGTTCTTCGGAACTATGTTTGGTTTACCCGTTTGATAAGCATGCTAGTTCGGTGTTGAATTGCTAGCGTGTGTGGTTTGTTCTTTCCTATTGTGGGTGATGACTTGTGTCGATCATCGTTGTTGTCGGAATGTGATCCTTTCTTGTTGAGTATGGTTTCATATCTTTGTTGTGATCCATTGATTGATTCCTATGATGATGATGTGTGAATTGGCTATACCTAGATTGCACGATTAATGGAATGAGACTGTTAGAAAATAATTAAGTTCTATGGCTCAAAATCCATTCCACTCACCATGATGCACCACATGCTGCTGTCCACCCACGTCGCATGCATACAGTAGCCTCCTCATTGCACGTCCCGCCGGAAGTGGTGCCTTTCCTCAATGAGCATGCCGTATTTATCTCCTTCTTTCAATTGTATAAATAGCTCATGTTTCTTTGTTATCAATGCATCAATATTGAATTCATTCTTTCTTCTTTCTTTTTTGTCCCCACGTAGAATACATATATATTTATATATATATTTGTTTTCTTTATACTCTTTTAGAGTTTAATATATATATATATTATATTTTCCCAATTTATTAATTTCCTACTTTTGTCATTTATATACTTTCCTATTATTCAACTTCTATAATTCTCAATTTTCGATTCTTCGCTTCCGCATTATTCCGCTATATTCCTAACAAGTGGTATCAGAACGGTTTAATTGAGAGTTATTTTCAAAGATGTCAACTGTTACCAAGTTCGATATCGAGAAGTTCGACGGGAAAATTAGCTTTTCTATCTGGAAGGTTCAGATGGAAGCCGTTCTAACCCAGAACGGTTTGAAGAAAGCGCTAGCTGGGAAGAAGAAGAAACCGGCTACAATGACAGATGTAGATTGGGAAGATCTGGATGACAAGGCACGTTCAACCATTCTTTTGTGTCTGTCTAAAGAAGTTCTACGTGAGGTAGTAAGTGAGACGACTGCGTCAGATTTATGGTCCAAGCTGGATACGCTTTACATGGCCAAAACTCTGGCGAACACGTTGCGTTTGAAGGAGCGTCTGTACACAATCCGTATGACGGAAGGTACTTCTATTAAATCTCACTTGGATGAATTCAATTCTATTTTATTGGACTTGGAAAATATTGATGTTATAATTGAAGATGAGGATCGCGCTATTTTATTGCTTGTCTCTCTCCCTAATTCATACAAGCATTTCAAAGAAATTATGCTGTATGGTAATAGTAGTGATACCCTTACTTTCGACAATGTTAAGTCGAACTTATTGTCCAAAGAAAAGTTTGACTTTGAAATTAAGTCTGAGGACAAAGGTGAAGGCTTGACTGTAAGGGGTCGTTCACTTGAATCAGGGAATAGCAATAAAAATTCTAGATCCAAGTCCAAAGGACATAAGTCCAACAAATCCTGTAAGTACTGCAAGAAGCATGGTCATGATATGACTGAATGCTTCAAGTTGAAAAACAAGCAAGAGAGAGAAAAGAAGTCCGCTGAAGCTAGTGTTATTGAAAGTGATTCAGAAGGCGATGTTTTGTTATCTGTTAGCTCCGGTTGCAAACGGAGCGAAACCGAGTGGATTTTGGACTCTGGTTGTACATTCCACATGTGTCCGCACAAAGATTGGTTCATTTCTCTGGAACCGGTTGATGGTGGAGTTGTCTTGTTGGGTAATGATACCCAATGCAAGGTTAGTGGAATTGGAAGTGTTCAGATTAAAACTCATGATAACGTTGTCAGGACTCTTACCAATGTCCGGTATATTCCTGATTTGAAACGCAATCTGATATCATTGGGCACCTTGGAATCTCTGGGGTACAAGTACATAGCTGAAGGTGGAGTTTTGAAGGTCATAAAAGGCTCTGTTGTTCTCATGAAAGCTTCTCGTTCTGGAAGCTTGTATGTCTTGCATGGCAGTACTGTGACAGGTTCAGTAGCGGTATCCTCATCGGTGTCTGATGCGAATCTCACTCAGTTATGGCATATGCGTCTGGGGCATATGAGTGAGAAAGGCATGCATCTCCTGAGCAAGAAAGGCCTCCTTGGTGATTCAGGTACGGGTAAATTACAATTTTGTGAGCATTGTGTTTTTGGGAAACAAAAGAGGGTTAGTTTCTCTACTGCTACACACCGTACCAAAGATGTATTGGAATATATACATTCCGATTTATGGGGACCGACTAAATTCCAGTCTATGGGAGGCTGTAGATATTTCATGTCTATTATTGATGACTTTTCTCGTAAAGTCTGGGTCTATTTCCTGAAACATAAAAATCAGGCATTTTCTATTTTCAAGAAGTGGAAAATACTTGTTGAGACTCAGACAGGTAAAAAAGTCAAGAAGCTCAGGACAGACAATGGCTTGGAGTTCTGTGAGTCAGATTTCAATGACTTTTGTGCGGCAAATGGAATCGCTAGGCACAAGACCTTGCCTGGTAAACCCCAGCAGAATGGTGTTGCCGAACGTTTGAACAGGACTCTATTGGAAAGAGCTCGTTGTATGCTCTCTAATGCTAGGTTATGGAAACGGCGTGATTTTTGGGCCGAGGCCGTTTCTACTGCTTGCTATTTGGTAAATAGATCTCCGCATTCATCCCTTGATTTCAAAATTCCAGAAGAAGTTTGGTCAGGTAATCCTGTTGACTACTCTATCTTAAGAGTTTTTGGATGTCCTGCATATGCTCATTCTAGTACGGGTAAATTAAACCCAAGAGCTGTCAAATGCATTTTCCTTGGTTATGCTTCTGAGTCAAAAGGGTATCGTCTATGGTCTCCTGATTCTCAGAAAATCATTCTGAGTCGAGATATCACTTTTGACGAAAATGCACTACTTTCTTCTAGAAAAGTTCCCAGTACAGGTGAGACGCAGAGTACTGGTGAGAAGGTGGAGTTTGAGTTCAGGCCTATTGATAGTGTTACTACTGCTGACGGTAATACTAAAGATGATGCATCTACTAGCACAACACCTCTCGTCGAGCCACAACGAGAGTATTCCATTGCTATGGATCGGCCTAGGAGGACAATCAAGAAACCTGCTAGGTATGCTAGTGATGATGAAACCAACATGGTTGCTTATGCTCTTTCAGTCGCATAGGAAGTTGATGGTGATCCATCCTGCTATTCTGAAGTTTTTCCTATTGCTAAGTTCAATCAGTGCTTGAGTTTAGTCGACTTTTCCAGTTATTAATTTCAAAATGGATTTGATCCAAGGTGGAGATTGTTAGAAAATAATTAAGTTCTATGGCTCAAAATCCATTCCACTCACCATGATGCACCACATGCTGCTGTCCACCCACGTCGCATGCATACAGTAGCATCCTCATTGCACGTCCCGCCGGAAGTGGTGCCTTTCCTCAATGAGCATGCCGTATTTATCTCCTTCTTTCAATTGTATAAATAGCTCATGTTTCTTTGTTATCAATGCATCAATATTGAATTCATTCTTTCTTCTTTCTTTTTTGTCCCCACGTAGAATACATATATATTTATATATATATTTGTTTTCTTTATACTCTTTTAGAGTTTAATATATATATATTATATTTTCCCAATTTATTAATTTCCTACTTTTGTCATTTATATATTTTCCTATTATTCAACTTCTATAATTCTCAATTTTCGATTCTTCGCTTCCGCATTATTCCGCTATATTCCTAACAGAGACATTAGTCACCAAGGTACGGCAGTGGTCCTCGTGGTGGCCATGATGTGATTACGGAGCTTTGACCTGTGTTTCAGGCTCACGTGTTTTGGGTGGCTTCAACCATGTATTGAACGGTACCCTCGTGTACTATGTGTTTGTGGAAATTGATGGTGGTTATAGGTGGGGAACGACGGTTCCCGGAGGCATAAGGTTGGACTTGGATGTACAAGGGTCTTGGAGGT